CCCCCCCCCCCCCCACCGCTGATTGGTGGAGGGCCTTGCCATTCACCCATGATCAGCGGGGAGGCAAAAGACAGTTTTAAATATGGAACCATTTTTGCCTTCCACCACCGATTGGCTGAGGGGCCCCTATGGCCCCACTGCTTGTTGCCAACCAGCCGGGAGACAAATACTATCAGTCCTCACCCCACATACTCACTTCTATACATCTGTAATGTGTCCTCATTTCATACTGAACTCTATGCTTCTTGTAAATGTGTACTGATTTTAGAAGAGTCATTCGTTCTATCTTCCTAGGAGGTTCGTACCTAACAAGCACAAGTTTGTATTACATTTATATCCATACCTATATTGTAAATTACAAATAGTATCCAGAATACGTGCCTCTAGAACAAAGCACCAGCACCCCTACATAATACATGTAAATGAGGCAGTGTGAAATACTGGTACATTTCAGTATCAAACCCACTGATGGGAGATATATTTGGCTTAAAAACAAAGATCCTACTGAAAACACTCAAGAAAGGAAAACAGGAGCATTTAATTAATGTATGTGACAACCATAACTAGGGAACACATGTTCCTTCAGTAATTCTGTTCTTACAGCATAACTGAAACAATACGTCTCAGAAAAGGAATGAAAACCCAGATAAAAATCTATTTTCTGTCAGACCTGTTTCTTTATCTAAAATAATGCTGAATGCATGGTAGCTGCTGTTGCTTTTAGTTTCCCATTTGTACACTAATGCTTTCTAAAATATCTATTCTACAAGCACGGAATAAAACTGTTTCTTGAAAACCTATGTAGAATTTTGTAACAAACCCTAATAAAAAAAAACTCCAAAAATATAATCTTAATAGTTACAAATCCAATATGAACAAAATGTGTAAAGCTACATTTCATATTTACTGTGCGTTCCCATACAAGGCATATATAGTACAAGGACACAGAAATCACTTACTTACACTTTTTCAATAGAGAGTCCAAGTTCTTCAGCAGCAAGCACTGCAAAGTATTCATAACTGTCCAACACAGCTCTGTCATGGCCTTTAACTAAAACTGACAATCTCCTGTATAATGTGTCTGGTTCATCTGAAATGGATACCTGTAATTTGCAAGTAGAGTAAAGCTAGTAAATTGCAGCTATATACCATCCTTTGCTAATAAATGCACTACACTTTTATAAAACTTGTACACCCTATGCCAAACAGGAGAAAACACTGCAAGCAGCTCAGCTTCATTTCATCTTAATCCTGTTAAATTGTTTAACCATTGTTGCCAGTTCTATTGAGAATGACAGGGATGTACATAGCTCAATAAGTTTTGAGCATTTAAAGCTATGAAGTTTGTTAATGCGAAAGGTGAAGGTAACTTTTTTTAGGGCTATTAAGAAAATAAACATGATGAAGGACAGTAGTGGTTGAGTGAGTGCCACTTTCACCCTTAAGCAGCTTCTAAGAGCTGGCGATTCCTCCCCAAGACCAGTCAACTGAGAATTCAGCCACCTGGAGAACACTGGCTTTTCTTTGGATGCAGCATGGTAGCGTACTCATCTTTTACAGTGTGGCCTTGTTGCAAAGAAGGCTAATGGCATACTCGGCTGCCCTGGTAGGAGTGTTGCCAGCAAATCAACAGAAGTGATTATTCCCTTCTATTTGGCATTGGTGAGGCCACATCTGGAGTAGCATGTCCAGTTTTGAGCCCCCCCCCCATTACAGGAAGGATGTGGACAAATTGGAGAGTCCAGCACAGCGCAATGAAAATGGTTAGGGGCTGGAGCACATGACTTCTGTGGAGAGGCTGATGGAACTCAGCTTATTTAGTCTAGAGAAGAGAAAAGGACAGAGGGGATTTAATAGCAGCCTTCAACTACCTGAAAGGGTTGTGAACAAACTTTTAAAATGGGTTCTCCTTTAACAGTGAAAAATATGGGAAACCGTAGCTTTTCCCTTGCAAGCTGGCAGAGTTCCAGCCTGCAAAAGCTGCTTGGGCACCCCAGCTCCACCCCCACACACTGGGGGGCTGGGGCCTGTGGGCAGTGACTTGGGAATGAGGAGCACTGGGTCTAGACTGGTCAGTGTTTACAATTGGGTTCAAGTACAAAAAAGGTTGAGAACCACTGTTTTAAAGCATGCATGCATCCTACAATAGGAGACATTTGACAATAATACAACATCTTCTAGTCAAGGGTAAAACACTGCTCTAGGTCCCCACTGAGTAAATCTCTCAAATCACAAATACCATTTCCTGTATATCTGGCAGCATTAAAATAAAAACAAAACCTTACCTATGCTGAAATAAAGATTAAAAGCAGAGATTGTCTGTATATTGCTTGTTACTGAGAATATAAACACTAAAGGCATGTCTACATATGCATTAACCTGCTTTAGTTAATGCACATTAAATCTAGTAGCTAAGGGCATTTTCACGTGTGCTCCCAACACAGCACTAAGAACTTTTAATTAGTGAGCTGTGCTAATTAAAAGTGCCCATGTGTCCCGTGCATCTGCAGCGCAGCACACCTCTGTGCTGACAAAAATAGTAGCAGTAAGCTTTGAACTAAAGCACTTTGAACGTGTTTTAGTTCAAAATACACTGCTGTCATTTTCTCAGTGCAGAGGCATGCTGCGCCACTAATGCACGTGATGTGTAAGGCTGCCAGAACGTGTCAATTTATGTGTTCCAGATCCAGTCTGCTCCGAGGAGCAAGCTTCCTGCATGTGTGTAAGTGCCCTCCATTGTGAGGTACTAGGAAAATGCACATTAGCCTGTCTTAATGCTCATTAACTAAAGAACATGGTTTTTAAAGTGACTGCTTATTGTGTATTAGCCTTTTCTAATGCACATTTACTACATAGCATGATTTTTAGTGATGCTTTAAATACACATTAAAATAGGCTAATCTGCATTAAAGCACATGTGTAGATGTCCTCTAAGTGTCTATCAACACTTACCAAAGGCATGTTGGCTTTACTCGGAACAACAGTGTGCAAATCAGTGCCTAGTGAGAACTGGATCCACATCAAGTTCTTGTTCCTAGATGAGGGAAGAAACATATTCACAACTACAAGATAAGGTATTTTGTGTTGGTAGACAGAAGGTCCTTTTGGACTTCTTTTTGTTATATACTGTACTTACTGAAGAAGATACTGTTTCGGTGCAACTCTAACTGCATAACTGCTAAGAAGAGTCCCTGACCCCTGTGAAAATAAAAAGTAATCAAATGTTTGTTTTTTCCCCACCCCCTGCCCTCCAAATTAGAAGGCAGCAAAGAATTTGTTAGAAGACGGTGATTTTTATACATATTAATCTAGAATTGTGTTTCTTGGCGTCTGTTAGGCAGGGCAAGTTTGATGCACTAGAAAACAAAGGAAGTCTACAAAGAATTATTCAGAATTATCCAATACCAACAGAAGAATTATAATATGATATTGCATAGAAGAATATATATATAGTTATAGACATGAACAGAGCATACAAACAGTGACCACAGCAGTTTTCCTACCTAGAAAATTAATGACAAATGTGCTATTCCCTGCATCTCTAAAACTGGAACATTCTAACAATGTATTGCTCTGTGCAGGGTTTACATCTAACAAAAGAGAGTAGTAAAGAAATGCTGAGTTAAGAAAACCCCAAGCAGGAACATGGCATGAAAAACATAACATGTGAAAGGTGAAAATCTTCCTTAGAGGGCCTATACGAAACCCTGGCCCTGTAGAGGTGCAGAGCAATGCCACACAGAGGAGATTATTTTTCATGCCAATTCAAAAGCTGACTCAGTAGATGGGGATTTCTATACGAGGAAATTATAGAAAGCTAGAAGTTATATCAGTATACAGGCATGACCACAACCATTTTGTTTTCCATACAAAAATCCATTGATGTGGACATCACAGTAAAGCGAGGGCCACACACATCATAAAAATGAACGAGTCATTTCGTTTATCTTTTCTAGAAGACTGAGGACAACTCCTGTTTTTTCAACAAGGATACCAAATCATAATTATAACATGGAGGAAGATCAATAATCAAAATAAAAACAAGTTACCAATTTCATCAGCACAATAACTATTCCAGCATATGACATCACATTCAATATTGGAATACAGGTTGCAAAGATATGTTATTTCACAGTGCAATCGATTTCCTTTGCTTTACTTTCACAGTACAGAGCAGAGCTGGTAGTCTGCCAAAAAGACTGGCAAAAACTTTATATTGCAAGGTCAGTTTTAGTTGCTTTCAGGTTTACCAACTGTGCTCCTTCAGAGTTGCTTTGCCTCGGACTGAATTTTTCAGGAGAGGGGGGAAGCATTTCAGGGAAAATGTTTCAGCTATTTCTTAGAATACAGTTGGGGGATGAAGAGAGGAACTTTTTAAAAAAAAAAAAAAAAAAAACATAGGGGAGGCAGGGCATAATTATAGCCATTGACTGGGAAGCTCTACTGTTGCCCATACCTGGAACTAGCAACCAAAGCTAAAATCAAACTGGAGCTGTACAATAAACATGCAAAGCACTATAAAAGTGTTAAGTACAATACTCTAAAAAAATCTGGTCGTAAGTATCTTAGAATTAGTGGATGCTTTTGAGAATCTTTGCCTTAATTTTAGTGTACCTCAGTACCACATCTATATAATATGAAATAAATATCAGTTTTTTTACCTTACAAGGGTGTTGTGGACTTCATGGATTTTGTGACACGTTACTGAACATATTACTGGTATAAGCACCATAAAGAAGTCCATAAGGAAGCAAATATTATTCAATGTGAGCCTTGTATATAAAGGTAAAGATATAAAATATGGAAACAATGAGTATAAGAAAAGTTATTCAATATCTGACCATTAACTAAAGCACCATCAACTAAATCAGTGGTGACCAACCTTTTTGGCAGGCATGCCATGAATTAGCCCTGCCTTCTTCTCCCCGAGTGCCACTTCACTCCTCTGCTCTGTTTTGTGCTCCCTGCCCTACCTGTGCTGTCTGTCCCTTCCTCAATCTGCCACGTTACACACCATGCCTGCCTATGCCACTCGTGGCACCCATGCCACAGGCTGGCTACCCCTGAACTAAGTGACAGAGAGATTCTGTGGGAAAATGTGACCATATAATTAAATGCTGTACCAATGCATAAACATGAGGGACTAAAAGCAACTTTCTGGGGGTCTGTAACAGGGAATCCTTACTCAGCTACAGAAAAGTGGAATGGGCCCTTTAAGGGAAGAGATTTTGTGATCCAAAGGCCAGAGCCAGCAAGGCTGGGGTTAATAAACAGCCCTGGAGTGTATGGGGGTAGGGCTTGAGTGGCATATAAACCTGGGCCTGAGCCAAGCCCAGTAATCTAGTCCTGCAAGCCACTGGATGAAAAAACAAGGACTACAGGGGGATGCTGGGCTGGCTACAGAGCTGCGCTAAGGAATCTCAGTGAAATCCTGGTGCCTTATGAAAGAGCACAGTTCCTAGTAGGGGGAGGTCTTGCTGCATAAGTTATTACTGTCATTTGTTATACCTAGAGCAGGTTATTTTTGTTACAGCCAGTACGCTTTTATTCCCTTTGTTAGTTTACTACTGGTGGACTGGATGGGACTAAAAAGGGGAGATGTGGAGGTCCCAGAATGCCAGGAAGGTATGTGAAGCTGTGGCTTGCCAGATCAGGGTACAAGAGCTGACGCTGGAGAGCCCCAAGCCCAGAGGAGGAGGAAGGGAAGTGGGAGAGGGATGCAGCAACAGTAACCCAGGCGGGGTCTGCCCCAGCTGCTTCTCAGCCACCAAGTGAGGGCCACAACCACCTGCCTACTGCCCCTATGCAAGTCCCTGGCCTGCTACAGTCCCTGCTACCCATCTTGCTGCTCCCAAGCTCCCTGCCCAGAGGATGGTGGCAGGCACATCTGAGTGCTCTGGGCTGGTAGTGCATGAACTATGATGAGCTAGCACAGCACATTCCAACAGAGCGGCTCTGGGATCTGCAGCAGGAACAGGTGGCAGCATCCCTGGGCTGCAGTCAGGGGCCAGCTGCAGCAACAGTGGGCCTGCAGCTGTTCTGCTACCCTGCTCTGCTAGGACATGCTGTGCTGTGCCTGCTGCCACTATCTGGAACCACTTGGTTGGTGAGCACCTGGGAGCAGCAGGGTGGCGACTGTGGTGGGCTAGGAACTCGCATGGGGGCAGCAGCCAGTGGCTAAAAGGCAACTGAGACAGATCCCACCTGACCTGATGAGTAGCACCTACTGTGTCCCCATCTGGCTCCCCCCTCCCTTTCTCTCCCTGCCCTGCCTACTGCCAGGCTTCCCTTTGCTGGGGGATGGCAGAATGCAGAACACTGGGGCACAGGCAGAGCTGAGGGGGGCTGTGGCTTGCAAGTGAGGGGCAACAGCAGGGGCAGGGCACATGTCAGGGCTACTCAGCACCACAAAGTAGCAGGGGAGAGTCACAGTTGGTCCTGGTGCAGGTGGGGAGCTGCTGCTGCCAGGATGGAGTGAATGGCAGGGGTAGGCAGGCCTACAGATCATGAGTGAGGGGCATGGGTACATTAGGGCTGGTCAGCACCACAAAGCAGCAGGAGGGACAGTCACAGCTAGATCTGCAACCTGGTGAGTGAAGGGGGCAGAGGAAGCTCTGATTTCATGCCCCCCCCAATAATTAGACAAAAAAAAAAAATATCAAATGCCAAAATATATAGATTCTTAGAATTTATTTTATTATAATGATTGAGGCACTGGTAGGCTTCCAAATTGCTTTAAGTTTTAAGTATATCCAAGAACACCGTGTTCAACTAATTACCTACATATATTGTAGGTGTCTTATTTTAAATCATGGAAAAAAGCAGATTTGGGGGGTTTTAATCAGAGAACTTGGGATTTTTTAAAGCAGAGAAAACCAGCTAAAAGAAATCCCTGCTGATGACTGAGATCTTGTTTGGGGAGCCCTAGGGCAGCCTCCCTTTTCTAAAGATAGGGTGTGGGAGGCTAGCTGAAGGGAAGATTGCCCAAAGAAAGCTGAGAGGGTGCCCCAGAGGCCTCACCGCCACTCCTGGGGCATGGACCTGTTACAGAATTCCTTGCTTCAAAGGGGATAATTTTGCGATTATAAGAGAATTATATAGTTAACACATGATATATACCATGGGAATGTTATAAGCATAATATCTGCCACCTTTCATGATTTAAGGCAATAGTTATCGGAGTTGGATGTAGTACGAGATAAAATGAATAAGAGTGGTTTACTGGAAGCAATGGAGAAACTTTGCCATTCAAAACTACCACAGCAGCGAGCATCTCAAACTTGTATTTATCATCTGATTTTACTCATTGTCTATTCAAGTAATAAAACTTCACATTAACCTTGCTGCATACGTACACCACATTCTTTGGATTTATGCTTTTAAAAATCTTAAGTTTTGGATACAAACATTTGCAACCAATTCACTGTTTCTTCAAGTTCTTTCAGGGTTTTTTTTGTTTGCTTTTTTAAACTCTTATTGCAAGAAGTCAGGGCATCTAATAGTACCAAACTGCAAATTCTAGTATTATTTATTTCCATAAAGCTTTATGTCTACAATATTACGTTTTCAGATAGCATGCCACTAATTTACAGAGGGAGTAGGGCATCAAGTGCCTCCATAAAATAAAAGTTAAGCTTCATTTGAAATAGCTACACACTCAAATTCTATTTGAATATCACAATGCAAAAGGCAAGGATTTTTTTTGGGGGGGGGGGGGTAGTCTCTTATTGTACCAACTACATGGCTGGAATTAAGTTAGACTAACTCTTGAACTTCTTCAGCTTTGTAATTGCTCCATTCATTCTTTAATTTAAAGCAGGGGTGCTCAACCTCTGGCTTGTGGGCCAAATGCAGCTCACAGTCATAACATCTAGCCTACAGGCCCCCCACAGGTCAGGAAGTTTGAGGGTAGGGGAGCAATGACAGCTGGCAATGGCACTCTCCCTTGGATGCAAAACTCCCATGTCTGCTCCCCCTGCACAGCCAGATTGGGGCTAGGTCAGGCATCCTTCCCCCTTCCACTAAGTCAGGACCAGGCTGCCCCATGCTGTGGAACTGTGGCTAGGTCATGTCCCCTTCCCCCATGGGATCCATGTCAGGTCAGGGCTGGGCTGGGCTGCCCTTTGCCCCCTTCTATGCAGGAATATAAAGCCCTGTGATGCCCTGGCTGTGCAGGGAGAGCAGGCATGAGAATTTGGCAGCTATTACTAACTGCCATTTTTCCTCACCCTCAAGTTCCCTGACCTGTGGGGAGCCCATGTGTCAGATGCTAAGGCTTTGTGAGCTGCGGAGGTTGGGCACCCTGGCTTTAAATTAAAGAATGAAAGGAGCAATTACAAAATTGAAGTTGTAGTACATGCTGACTACCCCTTTCATTATGAAGAACACCTTGCAGTCAACAGGTTGTCTACCTTGATTTCAGCCATGTCATTGGTTCAACATAAGGGCTGGATGAGGGCCTGCAGAAAAACTAGCCATTGCCCACCCCGCTCACAGGCCAAAAAACAACAGGCAACCACGACGGAAAGAGGTCCTGCAACTTGCGCCTTTCAAATGGCGCCCATCCCTTGCCAAAAAGCTTCCATCCTCGCAGGTTTTTAAGCCCCCCCGAGCTGCCACCTGCCCTGCGGCTCCGCCCGGCGCGCCGCTCCCACGCAACGTCACCGGGTTCGGCTCGGGAAGCGCATGCGTTGGCGCAGGAGCCCGGGTCCCCCAACTGCCAGGCGACGGGACATGCCGCTGCCACCCCCCGCGCAGGCGCTCGGGACCGGGATCCCTCTCCCCGCTGCGTTACCTGCCGGAGCCGCCCCCACAGGAAGCGCGCTCCTCCCCACGCCGCCGCCGCCATCTTGCCCCGCACCAGTTCCTCCCAGTTACTCCGTCACGCTCCTTCCGGCCACTTCCGACAGGCACCGCACCAAGAAGCCTAAAGCGACCCAGCCGCGGCCTATGCCCACACAGGCGTTGAAGTTGGTGAGGGGGTCCAGCTCCACTAACCGCTGCCGCGACGGGGCGGGGCTCCACACAAGCCCTGCCCTCTCACCTGCACGCGCTTTCCTCGGCCCGCAGCTTAGTTCTCTGGCGGGAGGCGGGGCTAAGAGACGGGAGGAGCCAATGAGCAGCCGCTGACCCAGAGCCGCAGGGGGGAGGGGAGGGGAGGGGCAGCTTGTGGAGCGCAGGCTGGAAGGTTACGTCACCTTCCTGGCTTCTTCCTTGGTGCCCCACGGCCCTGCTTAGCTACATTCTGACTCGCTGCTCCTGGCCCATGAGCCAGGGAGCGGCGTGTGCATGTCCCACTTGCAAGGTGTCATGGTTACAGTCTCCCCAAATCCTGTCCCCCTGTAAAAGCCCGGCCCTCCGTTGTTCCTGCGTCTTGGAACCAAAGCGCGAAACCCAAGGCAGCCAGGAGGGCTGGGCTGGGGCTTGAGGGGAGCCGGTGAGCAAAACCGGCACTAAGCGAAAGAAGGGGAAATAATCCTTGGAGGCGTAACACAGCCTGGGCTGGAGTGATCTAGTTGGAGAGGGCCCTGCTTTGAGCAGGGGGTTGGACTCAGGGTTTCTCCATAGGGTTGCCAACCCTCCCTGATTGGCTGGGAGTCTACTGGAATCAACATAGGTCTCCCAGTGACTATGGAAAGCGTTCTGGGAGATTTTAATAGGATATTTTAAGAAAATGAAATTAATGACGTTATATAACATTGTGGAGTGGGGAGGGGAAATCTCCCAGAATAGCTTCAGTTAGAGCTGGCAACCCATGAGTCACAATCCAAAAGTGGGTTGCAATATTATAGGAAAGGGCAGCGGACAAACTTAAAGATGGTGCCCTTTCCTTTGCAGGCTGGCAGAAGTCTGGCCTGCGAGGGGCTGCTGGGGCACCACCTTGATTCCAACACACATGCACACAGCCTGCCCCACAACCCATTGGCGACATGTAGGAGGCGCATGTGTACCCCCTGAGTTTGGCAGTGCACCCCCTGATACAAGCTGCAATGATGCTGCTGGAGGTGCGTGTGGGCAGTTGCCACCCACCCCACCACTACCACCATATGCAGGCGGTTGCCAATTGCCGCTGGCCAACAGCAGTGCTGTCGGCGGCATCTGTGGGTGGTCACTGATTGTTGGTCAGCGCTCGCCAACCCCACCCTGCTACTGACATCACTGTGGCTGCCTGTGGAAGCTCCCTGCTTCCTGCCACCACTGCTGCCACTGGCTGAAGGTGGTTGTCGTGCCCCCCCAGCCTCTGGGGGCCCGTGTTATTCATGCCACACCCACCCCCAGCCTCACACACCAGGAGGCTGGGGCAGCGGGTCAGGAGTGAAGGGCACTGGGTCAGGACGGGTCCTCGTTTATAAGTGGGTTGTGGTACAAAGGCGGCTGAGAACCACTGGACTAGATGACCTCCTGAGGGCCCTTCCAACCCTCATGTTCTATGAGTCTATGGTAAGGATGGAGGAGTCATGGGGCTGGGAGAAGTGCACAGCAGTGTACAAGCGCCAGGAGGAGGGGGAAGGAACAAGAAGCAAGTCTTTTGAGCACAAAATATGACACAGCTGGTAGCACTGTGATGGGGTGGGTTCATCTTTGAGGCAGATTGGTGTTGCATATCAAAAGTGGCTAAATTTGGGAGAGGTTAAAAACCCACTTCATGAATATCTTGGGGGAGAAAACAACAGGGGTGGGGTTATGCTTATAGGTGGAGTAGTATGGGTCTGCCTAATCAGGAGCAGGAGGTGAATAAGGCCTTTCTGTGCAACAATCAGGACAAGCCCTGTGGGATTTGATTACCCATATACCCTGTCAGGCCACACCTCTCTTGTAGGGTAACTATCTTTTCAAAAGGGGAAAGCAGAACACATGCCTGCCTTCTGCCCCCCAGCCTCCACCCCCACCTCTGCCACCACTGGCAGCATGGCCGGACAAGATCCAAGCGGGAGAGATGCGGGCTTAGGGCTCCCCACCTTGCTGCCTTCCCGTCAGGAGCCCTGCACCCCCTGCAGGCTCAACTGCAACAGGGGGTACAACTCCATGCTGCTGCCGCTGCTCCTGCCAGGTGGGCAGGGGATGCCTCACCATGGCAGCACAGCCAACACTGGGCCTGGGAAAGGGTGGGGAGCCCTGAGCCTACAATAGGCAGCCCACGTCCACACCCTTTATCCTACTCCGAGCAGCCCCTTGCAGGCTGGAGTGCTGCCAGCCTGCAAGGGGAAACTTGCCGTTTTCTGTGGATCCCTGCCCAAGACAGTGAATCTGGGATAAATGCTGTCCCAGGGTCATGCAGCCCAGGACCAGAACTTGAGGTTCCCATTGCGAGACTGCCCCACCCAATTAGGGGCAGACGGTAAGGCTGTGCAAAGTTTTGCTGGCAGTTTCATTTCGATGCTGTTTTGACTCGTTTCAAGCTCAAAACACCGAAATTGAAACAAAACAGATAGCTTCAAAACAGCTTCTAAATGAAACCAGGCAAGGTGAAACTTTCGAAAATGTCAAAATGTTGGGAGTTTCAAAGTTCAAGCTGGGCTTGCCTGCAAGGAAACAGAAACTAAAGTAAGGAGAGGGAGGGGGAAATGGTGGGGAAGGAGCGCTCTCATTATTGACTGTAGCTGGCCAGTGACTGTGATCCTTCCCTGAGGTCCCGTCCAATCCCAGCGCTCTAGGGGAGGGATGGAAAAACTGCATAAAAGGCAGCATTGTTTGAACTGCCCTGCTTTCTGCCTTGGTGGCAGCTGAGTAAGGATGCACCTTAACACACGCACAGTGTCACCCACCCATGTCACGAGTTTTCCCTGTCAGCAGCCAGAGGTGCAGGGCCCCAGAACCCAGACTCCCCCTGCACTGATCTCCTTGACAGCTGGCAGGCATCATGGCCGCAGCAGGGCCTAGCAGGCCTGCAGTTTTCACCCCGTGCCCCATGACAGACACAGTCCCACAAGCACCCATGACATGAGTTTTGCTTGTCAGCAGCCAGAGGTGCAGGGCCCCTAAAGCCCCTGCACCTATCTCCTTGACCGCTGGCAGGTTTCGTGGCCTCAGCAGGGGCCAGCAGGCCTGCAGTTTTCAATCTGCGCCTTAACACACACATTGTCACCCATGTCACAAGTTTTGCTTCTCAGCAGCTTGAGGTATAGTTTTCCCGAAACCCCTCCATCAATCTCCTTGAAACTTCGCAGGCTTCATGCCCTTAGAAGGGGCTATCATTTGTACAAGGTTCATCCAAATCAGACCAGAAATGACAAAGTTATAGGGTTTTTTGAGCTTTCCCATTATAGCCAATAGGTGAAACATAGAAACAGCAAAACTGTTTCAACAAGACAAAATGGACCAGCGGTTGAATTGAAGCAAAATACAAATGAGACGTTCCGTCAAAACATTGAAACGCAAGTCAATGGAACGGTGCCCTTTTGCACAGCACTAACAGATGGTCGCCCTACTCTCTATCTGGTACTACATAAACCAGTACAGCCAGTTCCACGGTCAGGTTGTTAGTGACTAAACTGGTATCCCCACCTGGACTAGCCTGGGTGAGGAGGGTGTGTGAACACCCAGCAGAACTATATACAAGACCTGTCAAAAGGCAGATGAACTCCTGTGAGCCACTGGCTATCCATGTCTGGAGAGGAAATGGGCAGCACACCAGGTGTAAGGTATCTAAGGTACCTCAACAATTGCAGTAGCCTCAGCACTGACCCGACTAGACTATACACCCTGTTGTAACAACAATGTAGCAGGACACAGGTTTTGAAGGCTTCTCTTTTGGTTTAAGGTGGAGGTGCAGCCATTGATTTTGATTAATAGGGATTGATTGAGAATCTGATGGTGGAACTTAATTTGAATGAAACTGATCAAAAATGATAAAAAGAGTTTGCCACCAAAGAAGGCATTAGTCAAAGGATGAGGACAATGGACTTCAGAAAAGCAGACCATAACAATGTCAAAGAACTGAGAGGTAGGGTCTTTGGGGACAGTAGCCTGGCTGTGTGCTAGTCTGACCCTATGCACACATTATCTAGCCCAGGCAGTTCCTCTTTGGTCCAGAAATTTGGCAGCAGCAGAGTAGTAAGTAACACTGCCACCGCTGCCTAATTTCCAGCCCCTTGAGGATCCCCACAGGTTGGATCTGGCCTGCGGGGGTAGGGGTTGTGCACCACTGGGCTACATAGACATAACAATTGTATCACTATTAAAGATTATGAATACAGGCTGTTAGAAAGCAAATGTAATATCTGGACAATTCTGGAAGGCACACAAGCGTAGCAAAACCACTCTAGCTTTAACCCTGCTTCATCCAGGGTCAAAGTTAAGGCAGTTTATTGCCCTCCCCTTTTAAAGCAGCTACAAAGGTATGTTTGTTCATCCCCCCAAGAGATAAAAAAGTACACGAGAGCTAGCAGTTATTGAAAGAGACTCTTATAAATGCACTGCAACAAACTATCCTGATATAAAGGAAAGACAGGATGCAGAGTGAAATACCACTATAGCCGAATTTGGAACACCTCAGCTACTAAAAACCAAAAAAGGAAGCAAAGACACATGACTGAGTATAAAGGAATAGGGCAAAATGTGTTTCAGTTTTCAGGGAACATGAAAGCAAGAAAAGATTCTAAAAATAAATTAGGCGTAAGAGCTATAAATAGATTAGGAGGAAGAGAAAAACAAAGGGAAGACTCTTTCAAAATAATAAAGCAGATGATGATGAAAAGAAGGGTAAGTATCCCATGCCTCTGCTTTAACGGTCACAAAAAGGTGAACTGTTACTAAATACTTTTAAAAAATAATTTTGTGACCAGGGTATGGCCAGAGTATGGAAAAATCTCTCTAGTCAGCAAAGCCTGATTAAATGTACCCATAGAGTACTTAAGAACCTAGCCAAGGTAATTTTTGAACTACTAATAATCATCTTGGAGAATTTGTAGAAGACGTGGGAGGCTCCAGAGACCATAGAAAAGCAAACATGGCACCCATCTTTAAAAAAGGGGGATCCATGAAATTCCAGACCTGCAAAGATACTGGAATCACCTGGAAGATAGGAAGTGTTTTAAAAAAATAAAAGAAACAGCAAACACTGATTTGTCATGAACATACCACATCAAGATAATTTACTTTGATTTAATGGGGTAACTAGCTTAGTGGATAAGGAAAAAGCAGAAGTATTACTGGTATATCATGACTTTCATAAAAGGTAAGGATTTTTTTTTTTTAGTGAGGCTTTTGACACTTTCACACAAGGCTTTCCTAAGCAAGGTAAGAAGGTATGGTCTATAATCACATGCAATTACCATCAGATGCATGTACAACTGGTTGAAAAACATAATTCTAAAGATCTATGCATCAATGTTCACTGTCAAACTAGGAGAGCATCTCAAGTGGATCCCACATAGATTTGTCTTGGGCTCAGTTCTATCCAATATTTTCATTCATAACTTGGATGATGAAGAGGTTGGGAAGATATAGTTTTACCATAACATTTTCTGTGGGGTGACCTCTCTTTTCTTCTTGCCACAGAATTTTACTTGCTTTAGCCACACTTATAAAATTAGCAGATGAAGCCAAGCCAAGCGGCTTGCAAGCACTTTGGATCAGGCAGTATCATCTTCGGAGGCTTAAAAAAAAAAATGTCAAGAAATAGAAGCAGATCTAGGATTTGATAAGGGGGGGAGGGTGAGCGTGGGAACGGCAACCAGCCCTCCACTGGTGGCTGCACACTCTGCTCCCAACCTCTGCTGTCCCCTTCTTCCCACAGCGGTAGGCAGACCATGCCCTGGGAGCAGCAGCAGGTGGGGACTAAGTACCAAAGAAGGTAAACACTTCCCGACTCCCTTTCCCTCTGCTCAGAGGTACGTCTCTTCCCTTCCCTCTTCCATCAATCACTGCTGGTGTCCCTGCAGTCCCAAGGGCAATGGGAGGTCCTATCCTCCTCCAGCCAGGCTGCGCAAGGGCTGGGCTCAGCGTAGGATGGCAATGGCAGCAGGTTCTGTTTCTTCATGCCTTCTCCCAGGCTGATAGAAAACACCCAGCTGGAGCAGGACAGGGGCTCCTCTTGCCCCTGGAATAGCAGGGAAAACTGCAATGGCAAGCAAAGGACTGGCAGTAATGGAGAGAGGATGGAATGTGCCTCCAACCACAGAGAAAAAAGAATGGAAGGAAATTTTTACTTTCTTTGGGACTTATGTCCTGGACTGTTGTTCCTGCTGCACAGTCAGGAAGGAGGGTGCAGTCACACCACTGCACCTCCTCTGGATCCACTCCTGGTTAGACAAATATCTGCTGGGGGTGCTTCAGCTACCTTTGATCTTGCCTGGACTAGATGATAAGTTGTGACCCCTATATTTCTATGACAATTCACAGACAACCCAATAAGCTCTCTATCCAAGCATGACCGATATTGAAATGTGTTCCCACTCCCCGGGGACTTTTCCCCCATGCTTCCTATTATTTATAAAATGATCTCCCTACTCTTGCCAAGGTACTGCACTCATTTTAATCACACCTCACTTCTCTCAACTGTTTCTAGAAATAAAAACTTCACAACTTGCAAAAACAGGCAATATATAATAGTAACAGCAAAATACTATTTCTAACTTTGCATTTCTTTGTAGATCCTGGCATTAGGGTAAAAAAAATAAATCAGGGTAGGGTTGTTGTATGTGGATTTAGAGCAGAAAGAGCATTGTTTTTGAAAAAAATAGTAAGACACTTCTGTATTCCTTGTACATCCAGTCTTTCACTGGGTGATAGTTCTCTGGTATACATGCAATTTAGAACTACCGCTAGATATTCATTCAGTAAAGAAATCTTTGGATTCTGGCTGTAGGACATTCTAAAGTTTCCAGATTAACATATATCAGCATTAAAAATGTTGAGACAAGAATGCATATCAAATACAGGAGGAGAGGACAGAGTTGTTCATGTATTTATTGGACAGAAATATGTTTCTAAAACAGGGTTAAACAGACTATTTTTTGTTTTCAAATTATGGCCCATCATCCAGTTTTTCCCTTTCTGAACATGTCCATATTGTGTGATAAACTATACCCAAATATTCATGTTGTTTACCAAAATGAAGGTGTGTGCAAGAGAAACAATAGTCTTTCTGGAAGGATTCAGAATTCCAATTACCACTTACTAAGGAATGTCCTTTTAAAGCCATCAATAATGTAACTATATATATTTTTACATACATGTAACTTTGTTTTCAACCCCCCCTATACTTTTTAAAACAAAGATTAATTTATTAAAAGAAATTTTCACCATGGTAGCAAAACCCAAAAAATTACATTTTATCAAAAGTATAAAATTCACTAGAAAATACTGTCCTCTTTTTGCCAAAATGTTACATAAAACCTTTTGATTGTACAGATACAACCATTACAAAAGGAAATAGTACTGAACACTCTATACATAGTGCTTTTTGATATGTACCACATATGCTGAATCCAAGAAAAAAATACAGATAAACAAATACTAGATTGTGAAAAAAAGCCATTCTAGTGCAAATCTGAATAAGTTACATCCTGAAATTAAATTGCATGCAAGACGGATGCTAATATTCTGAAGCCATAACTGAAATAAATCAACTACATTAAACATGTAGTTTTATTTTCATTACTTTTCCCACACCCAACAGTACAATTTGTTTTTTTACACTAGAGCTCCTAAAATATTTACAACCTTCTTCCAATAAAATATAACAGTTAAATATTTTTGAAAATAAGATTTTTTTTCCATAAAATATACTGATTTTTTTTTCTATGTACAGGTTTTGCCAGAGATAACCAAGATCAAGAATGAAACTACCTCCTGGTAAACATAGTTTTACACCATCAATCATTAGCAAAAAAAAAAAATCATCACCTGGGGGGGAGGGGAGGGGAAGAGAACCCTTTAAACTACATTTAGGAACAAGCCAGAACAACAACATTTTTTTTTTGTTTTTTTGTTTTTTTGTTTTTGTTTTAACTTCAGACAGTGCAATACAGAGTGAATGACTGAGGCCTAAAGTATACTATTTCAGAAACCTACATTTCTTTGGTTATTTCAAGTCATGTCACTATTTTTATAATTGTGTTGGTGGGTACAAATAAAGGTATGCCAGTTTTATCTTAGAGAGCCAGAAAATAGTTGAATGGGATTAGTATAAACACATCTATTAACTCTCTGGGAGTCAAATCCACAAGTTTTGACAGTATTATGTTTATTCTTTTTCAGACAAAAAAATCTAAATAAACTTGAATGGTAGTTTTGCCTGAGTAAGTATCAAGTAAAAACTAAAGGCATTATTGGTCCCTGCAGATGTCTTCCTTACCAACATGCATGGGGGAGTGCTACTTCTGTAGAATGCTTCCATATTTTCACGTGCTAGAACAAAAGGCTCTGTAGAGGATCCCCCAGGATTTAATGCTCCATGGGTATAGAGACAATGGAATGGACTCACTCAAGTTTTGCTACCTTAGGGCCATAGAAGACAGTGCAAGTTACTGTGTACAAAGGCTCTGATTCTGCAGACACCCAGAACATGCACAGCTTTGAGTCAAAACTTGTAAGATACACAGCATATACAACATTTTACAGTATTTCTCTGCTTCAAAGCAGTTGGTTGAGCCTGGCTAGCATAGCTATATAGGAAGTCATGCCCGGGATAGGAAAGGGTGATGGTTGGCTGTGCAGAGACGGTGCTGCTGTTGGAGTGAAACCAGCAGCTTCTTCCACCCACTGGCAAAAAAGACAGAGGAACCTTTGTAACTTGAAGCTGCTGAGTGGATTCCACTCTCTTACTAGTGATTAGCAGAACATTCAACTGTTCAGATTTTGTCCCTCTTTGCTTTGATGGGGAGACTGTTCTTTACCCATAAACCTAGGGGTTCTGATTTGCAATGGCTTTGTACCTGTGTGGCCACGTACATCTGCACAAGATAACTAAAAAACCTTCCATTATTTATTTTGCCCAGTATAAATAGTTTTACTAACAGAAAAGAAGCAGGTGTGTTACCTCTTGCACTCTGGTTAAGAAGGCATTTGGGACCCCAGACAACTTGTCTGAAGTATTTCATTCTTTTGCCATGCTTATGTCAGAAAAAGAAAGGAACAGGAAGAATCTGAAATTTTTTTCATAAAGATGTTCTATAAAATTTCCAGTTCTGCTCTGCTGTGCACGATTCACAAGAGTATCAGTGTGCTGTTGAAGCCTTTATATTATTTACCGCATTTTATTCCAAGGAGAACTTCAAAAACTAGCCATTTTGTAAGGAAGGTCCATCGGTCAAATGTAAACTCTCCGTGAGCTGCCTAAACCTGCTTCTGGTTTAGGACTCAAGAATAAAACTCCATGAGTCCAGTAGTATGTCTCTATCGCAACAAATCAAGTCAAGTTAATCATCAATGGGGTTACAGAGAACTTGTGCGTAGAGCTGGGTTACACAGAGGTGTGAGGAAGACTGACAGCCTTGTCCCCTCATTTCTCCATAAACTTTATATAAACCTGATGAAATTAAAAGTGAATCCTCAAAAATGGCACAAGAATAACATTTCGGGCCTAGGAAGGATTTGGAAAAAACAAACACACAAACAACCCAACAAAACAAAATCCCGAACATGTCACTATTATTCAACAGCATCACTCAACCCATTCCCTCCGTGGGACAAGGGCATCTCCTGACATTGGCCCATAAACAAAAATCTACTTCTGCACTGTGTGCATGAAGTCATACCCCCCCAAGCCTCTGGAATGGCTATTCAACAGTGTGATTTATTGGCACAACAGGTTGCATCTCCAGTGCAGGCCAATTACAAAAGTAGAGCTCCTAATCCAGTGTTCCCTTCAGAGGATGAGATTCACGGTAGAATCACCATCATCTTTCTTCATTCCTTGGATTAGGTCATTCGGAAGCCCGAGGATCTCTCTTCTTTTTTTAAAACCCAGTTAAGTGGAATCTCCATATGTACAGTATACACATTACCTTTTGCAGGTACAGATAACAAGAACAGGTAAAAATTAAGGCAAGGTAGAACTGAAAATGTACAATGATATTCATGATGCAATCACACTTGTAATTACTTCAGATTTGGTCAGATTTTCTTTTTAGTTCCAAATAAAACCAGGACAAAAAGCTGAAGAATAATCAAGTCAGCATCTCCAAACATGACACTTACTGCTGGAAACTCACTGTACAATCCAGTGCAGACAACTATCCTGTCAGAAGTGCATGACAGCAGTTCTTACCTAGTAAAGGGTGCCAGAGTAAGAAGTGTAAATGAAACACATTCTTAGTAATGCTCAACTGAGAATAGGAGAAGAGAACTCTACAGAATTAAAGTTCTTCTGATAATAGGAAAGAAACAGTAATAGATATATAGACTTCTCTGTTATTAGTGGTTTTGAAAGATCTCAGTGAAACAGAACCCAGATAAAACACCTTATAAGAATCTTTGTGCTAATTATTTATTTTCCCCGAAACACAGATTGATTAAAAAAAGGGAAAAAAGCAGTTTTTCTAGGTCTGAACTAAAGAAATTATCAGTTTTTATACAGGTAGTTTAAAAAAAAAAAAATCAATGGAAAATAAACAGGTAGTTCAGATTTCTTGACTGATGCATCCAGGAGCTAGCTGTCTGCATGGGACAGCTCTGTATTTACAGCTCAGCATCATCCTGCAGTAGATCTGCATCTTCATCATCCAACAAGAGGTCAGCTTCCATGACTTCATTCTCTTCCATGACATTACCCAACTCCTGAACAACATCGTCATCAAGGTCCTCCACATGTTTAATCAAATCCATATGATCCAGAGGGATCATACCATGTCCAACTGGCCCAGTAGTTCTTGCAATAGTAGCGGCCATTTCTGTTGCAACAGCAGCTTTTTGAGCTTTTTGCCTTTGTTGTTCTTCCTGTTGTCTGTGAGTCTTCATATGAGCATTGCGACTTTTGATTTTGAAAAACACCCTAAAATTTCAAGGGAACATTTTATTGCCATTTCAAATTATATTTTGACTGTACTGAAAAATAAATAAATATGCCCTGCTTCATTGCCTTGAAACGTACGTTGGTAAAAAGAAATCTACGTTACCCCACTCTGAGGATTTCAGAGACTACTAATTAGGTTTTTACAGCCTACTAGTAATAAAGGCCTTACTATGTTTCACTTATTTAGGATGGTTATATGGTTCCTCTATTACTATACCATCTGAGCACTGCACACTCTGCATAGTATGTACTTGCATAACCCTTCTATATAGTAGAGATGTGTATTTACCTCTCTTTAAGAGGCAAGGAAATTCAGGCACCAGGAAACAAAGGCCAAAATCCACAAAGGATTTAGAAGTTTATGCTTTCTGGATCTGGACCTAAACGATTTGCTCAAGATCACCCTGGAGTCTGTGGTGAAACAGACAACACGAAGGCCAACACTGTCTCCCTCTCCTGGAATCAGGAGGCATAACCCTTGTATGTGGATGGAGCCAGAAGAGAGACTGAATGGGATAAGCAAATGACCAAGCTCCAAAATGTGATCCAAACCAGTCTCCCATGACTGACTAGGGTAGGAGTTTAGAAAGGGCACAGTTAATTGCCTACAAAGGAAACTCATGGTCCTTAAAAACAAACCTGGTGAATAAATTGCTATTTTTTTGAGGTTCTGTTTCTTCAAAATACAGGGGGAAAACAAGTAATAAAGCAGCATTTACTTACTTGCCACATTCTTTACAAGGAAAAATTGTTGTTGGGTCCGTCTCACCACTTGTTGTGCTGTGTGCAGGTGAGCTCTTAACTGAACCGTGTCCACTCTGTGTCCCAGATTTTTGCTTAGCGACTGAAACTGTACACCTTGTTTTTGTCATTGGATTGGTACCTCCGTGAATACGGGCATGGCCATTTAGTGCTTGTCTGGAGCTGAACACCTGATGGGGGAAAACAAACTTGAATTGCAACAGCAGCAAAGAAAGGAGACATGCATCAAATTTACATTTTGCTGATATATGTCAACAATACCACTGGTTAAAAATGACACATTTGACCAAATTCTACTCTCCAATATACTCCACTGAAGTTAAAAAAAATTCTCAGTTATTTCATTATTCCTTTAGCACACAAAATAATACCTAGCTCTTATTACATGAAGCTTTTCATGCATACATCTCAAAATGCTTTATACATAGGCTACATGTCATTGTGCCCATTCTACAGATGAGGAAACTGAGGCACAGATGAATGAAATGAATTTGCCCAACAACATCTAGCAGAGACCAGCGATGGGGGCAAAAACTGAATCCTGGTCTCGAGTTCCTACCTAATACCCTATCCACTGCACCAAACACCTCTCATATTGATAAAAGACAGCAAATACACGTACAGCACCACAGTTTGGCATTTCACAGATAAAAGAGGCTGCAGAAAGTGAGAGACTTTGAAGGGGTGGCAGGTCTATAGGTGCAAGTGGGATAGGTGGTGGTTCAGGGGATTTCTGTATTTCACTTTCCTCTTCTTTTACACATTTTCTGTCGTCTTCCACCTCTTCCTCATCCTCTAAAACCTCCTCTTCTCCACTTGTCTGAAATTAAAATTAAATTTAAGGAAAACTAAAAATGGGATCAAAGAATATTAAAAAAGCATAAGACAAGTGACAGCACAGAAACAGAGTGTGCCACCTAGCAATGTTTCATTTGCTGTAGTATTCTCACTTGCCCTGAACTGGATGTTTTGTGTGCGCTATATATGCAATAAAACCACAGCCACAAGGACAAATTGCAGCCCTTAAGAATTCTGTAATGTTGGCCAAGACTGCCTTCAGCTTTAAATATAAAATTATGTCCCACAGGCACTATGTATCTTCAAATGTGATGCTTCATCTTTATCTGGCTGGCAACATACAATATACTCCAATGAAGAGGTATGCTAATAATACTAGCCATTTAAGATTGCCTAAATACATGTAGTACAAGGTATATCATGCAGGACTTTTTTGCAAGCCCAGATAAACTGCTTTTCCAATGACACTTTCTATTAGACTAGAAAAATGTCTTGACTTCCTATACGCCATGGGTGTGCACACCCATAACAGTGGAACAAGTCCAAACTGTCAGAGACTGAGAACTGGTTCACAATTCTTGCAGGACAGGGTGAGGACACACAACTACTGAACCACTTCCACATGGCACTGACTGAGACTCAGTTCACAACTTTATGAAGTACTGCGGTTCCAACACCAGGGGGTAGGAGTAAGCACCCATCCCGGCCTGCCTTCTACCCATGCTTTAGGGATCCTAGGGGATGGGTGACCTGTGGCTGGGGGTGATTTTACTTTTGTGCTTCCCCTTCTCTCCTAAATGTGAATTCAGTAAATTTCAATAGCCTGCAATTAATCAAAGTCTGCAGTGTGTCCGCTGATCTGGGGGGAGGGAGAGGGAAGAGAGGCATGGGTGGGGCGTCAGGTGTTGGACCCACACTTTTTGGTTCGCAGGCATGGGTGGGGGCACGAAGAGGGGCTACAGCCAAGTAGGGAGCAAGGACACAGCTGGTTGGTAGAAAAGAAAGCTTTTATTGAACAAGCAGTGCAAGGGAGTTTGTTGATAAAACGTACCAACAAAAGGGAAAAAAAAAAGAGGGATGGAAGGATGCAGGGCAGCAGAGTTCTGGCTGTGTGCCAGAGCAGCCAGTAGTAACAGTGCGGGGACTAGGGTGAAGAACAATGAGATGTGGGATGCTTGGAGGATTAACCAGGCATGCCTCAGAATGCTTGGCATCCATGCATACCACTTCCCTTCCTTTTTTCGTGTCCTTGTGACAAGGTTTTTAGTAGGATTCACAGAATTGTTGGACTCTGACAGGTCATATCTCTGAACCAGTTCAAACGGTTCAAAATACCATATTGCTTGTATACCACATGCCCCCAAATAAGACATGCACCTTGTTTTTGAAAGGCAGAATGGTGGGATAGAGGGAGAGGAAGTTTTTCCCAGAGTCATGGCTGACTATGCATCAGCTCACTTACCCTCAGCCAGCTCACTCATTGGTTCAAGCAAAAGTTAGTGGTAAGCCTCTTTCAGCCAAAAGCTACTACCAATTCAGTAGAGGCAGTAAAAACTGCACTCCATCCTTTCTGCTTGCTGGCTCAGACAGCAGTAGCAGGTACTTTGGCACATCATTTCCATCATTCTAGCCTGGTGAAGAAAATCAAATTCCTCATACCCCAAAGACATGCAACCCAATTTTGGAGAGGTTTTTTTTTTTTAAATGGTGTGTGTTGTTTGAGAGTTAATACAGCAGTATTTGATTTCCATCCCACCCCCTGGTACCCTTTTGAACCATTACAGGTGACTAAACCAGTTTAACATGTTTGCATGTCTGTCCACCTTATATTTAAATCACATTTAAATTGTTCTAAGTGTTGTGTGCATCCATAACCCAAGAATTACAGTAGCAAGGTAAATGTGTACACACATGCATGCACACTGGGAAATTTGCAAAAGTTTTTCCTGTATCTGTGTTACTAACAGAAGTCAAGACAGGTTGTGCATGTTTTCAGACCAGAGTTAAGACACCACACTTGTAGCCTTAATTACATTTTAGTTTCCATCAATCAAGCTGCACTTGTATAAAAAAAAATAAAATCTCAGTGTAGATTTATAAGCTTTACCGGTGTTAGAGTTTATGGGGAGTTTTTTAAAGCTTACCAGGCATTCATCTCTCTTTTTTTCTAAACGTGTTCTGTGTTTCCGTCCCAGACGCATGATTTTCTTCCAAGTATAGTAGTATTCCACACACTGTGCAACTGTCTTAGACTTAACCTAGATCCAAGCGATAATAGCCCAGCATCAGTTTTATGAGCTTACTGACAGTAACGCATTATAAAAGGTTGAATTTTGTGTGCTATATTTAGGAAAAAATAGCAAAATGCAAAAAATATAGATAACCTGAACGCAACATATGACAGCTCAGTGTAATTTCTCTTTACTCCTAAGTAAACCACAGATTTGTTTAATATATTTGGATGAAACAAACTCCTGGGGGCTATTCCTAAATAAAGATTTCTATAAAAAAAACCAACCAACCAACCAAACAAAAAACAAGACACTACCGACTGACGGTATACGCTGATAACTTTGGAGAAAAAAATCTTAGAAGAATACTATAGCTGTACCCACCCGTTTTCCCCAACCAGAAAGCCATTAAAAAAGGCAGGGTATGCAGTGTTCAGGTTTACCTTACATAAAGCAAACATTTTTCAGCATGAAAAATGACAATTAAGGCACGCAATTCTGTCCCTCCAGATATGGCGGCCTCTCATGTTTCCTTTTTCTATGATGGAAAATAAAAAAAAAATACAGGCATCTCTCTAATTCTAATTGTGGCATTTTATCACCACTGTGACCTATGCTTTTTTAGTGCAAGAAAATCAGAATATGGAGACAAGAGTTTGGTGTCACATGGAATCTGGATACCTGGCTAACACACAGATTAATAGGTTAGGCCTAGTTCTTCAAGGTGCTAGGAGCTCTCACCTCTGCAGTGAGCGATCTTAACACTGGTGAGTGAAGAAAAGGATGTGGCTAACACGAAAACAATAGGTCGAAACTGGCAGAGAACAGAGGCTTTCTTACCATTTTCTGTACAAAAAGAAAATCTTTGCTGTAAATGGACAGTGCATCCTTAAAAAGCTTTCTTTCGGGTTTCGTCCACTTGTCAGATCCTAAAATAAATAAAAATACATTATAAACAGCTTGTCCAACTTTCAACATTTTTTTCCATATGGTATTCTAGCTGTTAGAACAGAGAACTAGGAGTTAGAACTGTTTGCTAATAATCCATGACAAGTGACAAATTAATTAGCTACTTAACCCCTCCTTGTCCACCTCCATCCACAAAATAGGGCTGATGCTTATGAACTACTTCATGAGAGTGCCATGCAACTGCAAAGTGCTTTCTGGTGCTTGAATGGAGTTGCTATATAGCTGCCAAGTGTTAGAAGTAGGCATTTGCTTTTCTAGATTAACTGCCTGTGAAAATATAACACTCCATCTCTGAGGATCAGTGTTTAATCTGGTGCAGACTGTAGAAAATAAGTCTGTGCTCTGATTTAGATCTTTAGTGAACAGGAGTACAATACCAGAAGCACAAAAACTGTTCTGCTGGCTCAAAGCAGTGTCCTGTCTATAAGACTACAGCACTTGAGCATCAGGAGAGGTAAGAAATCAGTCAAACACCAACTAAACCGTATGACAAGTTTCTTTCCAACTCTGACAATGCTTAGTTTGCTTTTATCACTGACTTTTCTCCGAGTTATGCTAAATTCTTGAATTCAGTATCATTGTGGTATTTATGCCAAGTGTATAAAACTAGCCTTATATCAATTTAAATGTATTAATTTTAAAATTTCTCGAAGTTATTGATTGTTCCTTAACTTCCTGTCTGACATCTCAATCTAGCAAACATTGGCTCAACTTTACTCATTGAAAAGAGCTGGGGTATGCATTTTGCCAGTCTTCAATGGTGAAGATATTAGCTTCTCTGCAATTTCATTATTCCTCTGCTCTCTGAAGGCATTTTGACTCTTGAGGATAAAGTGATATTAGCTATCTTTACTTAGATTTACACAAAAGCTTTTATATCAGCTTTGTAGAATGGCACTGACCTCAAATTCTTTGAGTTTTATTAACTCTTCTATTATTGGCCCAAGTGTCTTTTTCTGACTTGCTGCTTTATAAAAAAAACATGTCTCCCAGTGACTCTGTTGCTTACTATTTTCTCCTATTTGCATAACTCTGCCTTCATTTACATGTAATCCTTCCCTGGAACAGCCCATCATTTTAGTCTTTCCATGGACTTGCCTATACAGGAAATTAATTGGGATTAAGATAGGGTGTAAATTTAAACATCAATTTCTGAATTACACTAGTTTGGAGTAAGTCATTCTTGTTCTGGGAAAAAATATCCACAGTTGGGTGGACAGGAAAGAGGGGAAGAGGACTGCTGCCAAGAATACTGGCATAAGCACCCAAATAGAGAAGCCAATGATCTCTCTACATGACTATGGGACCAGTTTTTGTGCAAATCCCTCTGCACCTCACTTCATTCATCTGTTGAAGTCGAAACAACAACATTTGCACCACAGGAATATAAGGATGTGGAATTAAAGTGTATTCATTTTCTCAATCTTGGTATGAGAAATGTTCAAGTGTTATTATTGACAGAATATAAATTTTCCTTAATGTTATACCTTTTCCAAACCAAAATGATACAGAAGGACAAGATTCAATGTCCAGCAACCTGCCTGATTGATCATGCTTCTTCCAATAAACTACTACAATGAAATAAGACTTTATTTTATTGTACCCCTAAGGCAGATTCAAATTTTGCAGTTTCCTTGTAATTGCAGTGAATCAGCAAAGATCCTAACCCAAATATGAGTTTTAGGTTTAGCAGGAAACAGCCTAATTAACTACAATAAAATCTGTGTAGGAAACATTAAAGGAGAAAAGGTTGAATTTAAGTCTGGTTGCTAAAAAATTGATGTAGCTCTTTCTGGTGTAGGAGAAACAAAGATTGTGTATAGAAGGTTCTACCATGCAGCAGGAAAGATTTTGGACCTCAGAATATGAAACTATTTATCTGTTCAGGGATTTAATCTACATTCCACTGTATTTGCCACAGTGTGACCATATCATTGCACTGATTAAATAACAGTAAATCCTTTCTACAAACTCAGGGGCTCTGGGTCTGATTCATTACTTTCACTAGTTACACCAAAGAAAAATGTACAATATATATTGCATATTTAAATAGAGGCACAATATTTTGTAGAGTCTATCTTATCCTTCCTAAAGTGAAAGTAAGGTTGAGAAGTTCCACTGCCTAACTAAATAAAACCCCCCCTGCTGCAGTTCTCTCTAGGAGAGGCTACCTCTTCCCTAAAATTTCATCTTGAAGGCTGATAAAGACTAAGGAGAGAGGCTCTCTCTAAAATAAAGAAATCAGGATATGCTTGCTCAAATTCAGCAGAAGCTAAATTTAAGTACATCAGGAAGAACTGGAGGAGAGGAACTCTAGACTGACTGTAAGCAGTGCATGCAGCAAAGCCAAGAAGTTGTGGTCTTTTTAAAGTTTAAGAGACTCATACATGTTTGCTCAGGATGTCTATCAGCTCAGAATGTCCAATGTGTCTGGCAAATGAGCAAAGAGACTTCAAGTTTAAAACCTGCTTCCCTCATCAGCTTGACAGTGTCTGAGTTTGCTGACCTTCAAGTCATGCTTCAAAGACAACTGTTCATTCACTTGTGTGTGAAGGGTGTCCTGTGAGGGAGTGAGAGTCTATCTTGTTGTTTGAGGATTTTTTTTTCCTCGAGTCAGCACTGCATTTTACTTTGATCTAGTCCTGCTTTAATCTAAGTGCGTGTGCTCAGGGGCTGTGATGATTGAATTTTATATAGTGGAGAAAAAACCCGTTAATCCAAATGCCACTACATTTAATTAAACCAATTCTTGAAATAGAATGTCTTTGTACAATAAGAAATCTCTCTATGCCTACAATATCTGGTTGACATATCCCCATCAAATAAAACTACAACACAAGAGCTGTACATTGCTGAAGAGTGGTTATCAATATGAATTCTAACTTCAAGTTGTGCTGAAGAACTTTACAGAGTTATTTTGTATTTAACTGCTTTACTACAGTTTTAAGAGATTTAAGCCTGGTGCACTTTTGGTTCATCTTGTAGCATGATAACTCTGAAGTTCTGGTTCCTGTGTCCGCCTGAGAAATTCTGGTCCTTTCCCTCTATCTAGAAACCACACTGAGGACCACAGGTATAGTGGTGACATGGCAAGTGTCTTTCCTTGCATCCTGTGACTATGTTCTCTCTAAAATCTCTTACTTCTCCAACTGTACATTAGCTGTGTTTTTCAGAGGATCACAGAATCATAGAAAATTAGGGTTGGAAGGGACCTCAGGAAGTCATCTAGTCCAACCCCCTGCTTGAAGCAGAACCATCCCCAACTAGACAATTCCCTGCTAAGCCAAGCTATTCTTCCTGCACATCAGGATGGTTCATTCCTACACCTTCAGTAAGGTCTCTTTAAAATACAACCAGCAATCCTGAACTCCTCTCCTCCTCAGACTGGCCTCCCAGGGGATCCTGCCCATCAGTTCCCTGAGTGAGTCAAAGGCTGCTTTTCTGAAATGCAGGCTCCTTACTTTGCTGCTCTCCTTCCTTCCTTTCCTCAGGATCATGTACTCTATCATTTCATGGCCACTGCTGCCAAAGTTGCCATCCACTACTATATTCCCCACCAATTCTTCTCTGTAAGCAGTCAAGGCTTTATGGAGCCTGGGCCTTAAAACCTCCAAGGATGGAGATTCCACCTTCTCTTTAGGTAACCCATTCCAGTGCTTCACCACCCTCCTCGTGAGAAAAGTTTTCTTACTATACGACTTAAACCTCCCTTGCTGAAACTGTCATCTACCACCACAGAACAGTCCAGCTCCACCCTCTTTGGAACCAGCCTTCAGGTTGTTAAAGGCTGCTATCAAATCCCCTCAGTCCTCTCCTCTGCAGACTAATACCCAATTCCTTCAGCCTCTCCTTGGAAGTCATGTGCCCCAGGCCTCTAAAACATTTTCTTTGCTCTCTGCTGGATTCTCTCCAACGTGTCCACATCCTTTCTGTAGTGGGGGACCCAAAAATGAACACAGTACTCCAGATGTCACCTCTCCAGTGCAGAATAGAGTACTTCCCTTGATCTGCTGGCAATGCTCCTACTAATGTAGCCCAGTATGCTGTTAGGCTTCTTGGCTACAAGGGCACACTGTTGACTCATCCAGTTTATTGTCCACTGTAACCCCCAGGTCCCTTTCCTGCAGAGCTGCTGCTTAGCCAGTTGGTCCCTAGCCTGTACTGGTGCATGGGATTCTTCCATCCTAAGTGCAGGACTTTGCACTTGTCCTTGTTGAACCTCATGAGATTTATTTTGGCCCAGTCCTACCCTCCAGTATATCTACCACACCTCCCAGCTAGGTGACATCCACAAACTTGCTGAGGGTGCACTCCATCCCATCTGCCAGAACATTAATGAAGATATTGAACAAAACCAGCCCCAGGACCAACCCCTTGGGCACTCTACTTGATACTGGCTTCTAGGGAGACATTAACCCACTGACAATCCAGCCAGCTGTCTATCCACCTTACCGTCCATTCATCCAACCCATACTACCTCAGCTTGCTTGCAAGAATGCTGTGGGAAACCGTATCAATAGCCTGCTAAACTAAAGGTATATCAACATCCACTGCTTTCCCCGCATCCACAGAGCTAGTTATCTCATCATAGAAGGCAATCAGGTTGGTCAGGCATGACTTGCCCTTGCTGAATCCATGCTGACTGTTCCTAATCATCTTCTTCTCCTCCATGTGCTTAGAAATGGATTATTTGACAACCTGCTTCATGATTTTTTCAGGAACTGAGGTGAGGCTGACTGGTCTGCAGTTCCCTGGACCCTCCTTTTTCCCCTTTCTTAGATATGGGCACTATATTTGCTCTTTTCCAATTGCCCAGGACCTCCCCCGATTGCCATGGTTTATAGCAGACTCCCACCATAACATCACCTTTGTTGCTCTCCTCTCCTCTGCCTTAACCCAGAGACTTTCAACAGACCTATCTCCAGTTTCAAACTGGAGCTCTAAGCAATCATACAGGTCTTTTACATACACAACAACTTCTCCTCCTCCTCCTCTTCTGCTCTGCCTGTCCTTCCTGAACAGTTTGTACCCATCCATGACAGTGCTCCAGTCATGCAAGCTCTCTCACCAAGTGTCCTTTTCCTGTCTCCAACTTCCTGTATCTCTCACACACTCTTTCCTTGCTCTTTTCTCTTTCCGTTTGCCTCTGGAGAATCTCATCTGCACGCACAAATTCAGTTTCTGTTTCTGTGCTGGCAACTGACAGACGCATTCCTCTTTCCCAGACTAGTTTTTCTCCCCAGACTCAGTCTCTCAGACATTTTATAAATTTCAATCCATCAACTCACATGGCTAAAAAAGTCATTAATCCCCTTGTCCAAAGTGCTCCCTAATGCCTCCTTTCTTGGTGACCAAAAACAATCCCACCCTCCTGATGGTCATTCAGGCCCATACCCTTGGCATCATTTGCAATACAGCCCTCCAATTCCTCACTTTAAGGTTATGTTTACATTTTGCAGATTTTTTTTCTCATTGATACCTGTATGATACAGCCTTTGCTCATACAAAGAAGGGCAACAAAAATGATCAGGGGTATGGAGTAGCTGCCATACAAAGAAAGGCTAAAAAGGCTAGGGTTCTTCAGTTTGAAAAGAGAAGGCTGAGAGGGGAAACAGAGGCCTATAAAATAATACAGGGTATGGACCAACTGAAGATGAAACTATTATTTACCAAGTCCCAGAATACTAGAACTAGGGGCACTCACTCAAATTAGCATAAGACAGATTTAAAACAAGAGAAAGCCCTTTTTTTCCACAGCACAAAGTTAACTTGTGGACCTCATAACCACAAGTGGTTGTAGAGGCAGATAGTACAGCCAGGTTCAGAAAGGGACTAGACAAATTCATGGATGGTAGACTTAACAGCACTACTAAACAGAACACTCACGATGTACTGTCTGGCATCTCTGAACTAGAGACAGTGGATGCCGGGAGGGTATGATAGAATGGATCACTCTAGATAACCCTGTTCATGTGTTTTCTCTCTCAAACATCTGCTACTGCCATTGCTGGAGACAGGATACTGAGCTAGATGCACCATTGTTTGACCCAGTAAGTAGGGCACTTTCTTCTGCTATGTTCTTTCCTTCCAACCACATGGCTGAGATGCACCTTCTACGCTGTTGTCATCTTGCATCTTTATGACTGCAACCAGCTTTTTCCTGGCCCTGCAAATGCAGTCTTAGAATCACAGAAAAGTAGAACGAGAAGGAACCTGAGGACATCATCTAGTCCAAACCTTTGCCTAAAGCAGGATCATTCTTATCCGAACCACCCTAGATAAGTGTTTGTCTCATCTGTTCTTAAAACAAACAACCCTCTGGTGCATCTACAAGACACGATGCCCCAAAACAATCAGAAACCACTCCAACTTGTCACAGGTGAAGCAGTGCACTGTAAGGATATGAGTAGTTTGTTAAAATACCTTTGAAAGATCCAAGGAAGAGGACCATGCCTGCTACCCCTACAGTCCATACCAATCTGATTGTGGGGTAAAATTCCTTCCTGATCTTAATGTGACAATCAGTCTGACCCTGAGTGGAGGAGCAAGATCTTCTACCCAAGAACCTCAGGGCTTTTTAAGTCCCAGCTGGAGCACTGGCACACCTAATCAAACCTCTCCAGCCGGGGCTGCAGCCAACACCCAATACTGCTGAGGAAGGCAACAAAAACTCCTGACACCCATAGCATGTGGCAACCGGCAAAGTCAAGAAGCACAGGAAAACAAAACACTCTCCATTCTGCTCCACAACCTGGGGACTGCAAACAACTCCATGCATCAAAACACTTCTCCCCCCTTATCATCTCACTTCTTCATAAACTTATTTTATTCTTATTGGCTAACCAGGATTTCCCAAATACTGGGTGACCAAAAGCCAGTGCTGCACATATCCCTGGCAGTAATCATTTAGGAAAGTAGAGCCTTTTCCTACAACAAGAGTATCTTTTACACAAAGTAAATCACTGACAGTTTTTCCCTCTTTATTCCTCTGTGACAACGAGACTGCTTTTGAAACCATATGTGTTCTTGACAAGGTTAGATACTAAAAAGACATTGTGCTATCCTTTTTTCTCTACCAGGAAAAAACAAATCTCTTGTTATCAATCTTTCCTTGAAAGGAGAGAAGCTGCAACTCCTGTGCATCAACTGGCCTAAGGGAGAAAGGTGGAAAGCAGGAAGCTGCCTAGGGCTACCAGCAGCTTCCTGGCCAGTCTGCACTGCATCATCTACCATGTTTTACAGCAAGCAGGGACTGCTGTTGCAAATCAGAGATGTGTCCTGCTTCTTTTTTCCCTGGTATGCCCCTACTTTGGGGTAGTACTGGTGCTAGAGCTGGGTCTTGCAGCTTAAAAAGTCCCTCATGCCAGGAAAGTTCTCTCTTGGGTGGCTAGAGCTAATCTGTGGCTCACTGATCCATGTACGTGGTGCTTTGGTGCTGACAAGACACCAGAATATTGCCTACTGTATTTTGATTCTCCAACTAGTGAGAGATTCACGGTTTGCTTCTTTTTGAGTACAGGTTAGAAATGATGGTTACACTCAGACAGGCAACTGTCTCCTACATGCAGTCCTGTTTCTAGGAACAGTTGAGAAGCAAAGATATGAGACAGAGTCAGAAGAAACCCTGCCCTTTACTAAATTGTAAACGTGTAATCTTCAGTAACACCAGAGATCTAAATGGCCTACTGAAGGCCACGTTGTGTTTCAAAAAGTACTTTCAGACTCTGAACTAGAGGAAACTCCATTGTGTTTATTAAAGTATTAGTTCTAGATGTGTTTGTTTTGTTGCTGGATCTCAGCAGACACTGATTTTATGTGAAAGCAGTAGCTAGAGTAATAACTTAATCTGCACTTCACACTTCTTATGAAGAGACTGTAAGCAATCTAACATTTACTATGCATTACAACACCAGATGAAGAAAGTAAGACTGCACGGAGGGGGATACTGAGGTCTAAACAAACTAAGAGCCTAGCCCAAAGTTACACAGGGAGCAAATTGCATAACATAAATGACAAGAATTTCAAATCAGATCCACGCAGTAAGTTTTGTTTACAGAAAAATACTTTAGGATAGTTTGTGCCATTTAACTATTAAAGTAGAAAGTATAGAATATTACATAGAACTGCATTCATTTTTTCCCCTGTATTTCAATACAATAGGATAGGGGTGCTCAATCTCTGCCCTGCAGGCCAAATGAAGCCATGGAATGGTGGGGGAGCAAAGACCATTAATACTGCCACCCTCCCATGCTGCCAAATTCCAATGTCCTCTCCCACCACACAGCCAGACTGAAGCTGAGGCATACCCCCTTACCTCAGCATAGCTGAACAGTGGCTGGGCCATGCCCTGTCCCCTCCATGCAGCTGAATTGGAGCTGGGTTGCCCTTTGCCCCCCTCTAAGCAGTTGGATAGGCCCTGCTGCACCTACCCAGACACTAGATGGGAGGCCACCAGCTGGATCTGGCACTGCACATTCAGCCTGCCAGGGAAAAAGATTGAGCACCACTACCATAGGGCAGGCAATCAGAGATTTAGGGCTGAAAGTAACCTCCAGTGGTCACCTAGTTCAACCCTTTGCTTGAAGCAGGATCATCCCTATCAAAATCACCCTTTACTTTCTTTACCCAAATCCTTTGCTTAACCTTTTGGCAAAACTATACAATCAACCCTAACACAAAACTGAAGACAAACACCTTAACCTCCCACAGGTAGAGTAGTGGGACCATGGAAGATGTAAAGGTTGTTAATATATGCTCAAGGAAGAAGACCACCTCCCCTGCTAGAGAGGAAGTCAACCCCCCCTACCCCCGCTGCTAGAATTTTACCCCATGGTTGGGGTACGGACTACTTTCTGACCCTAAATATGGCAGTCAGCCCGATCCTGAGCAGAGGAGCAAGAACTGCTAGCCAGGAACCTTTAGGTTTAAATCCCAGCACCACTGACACACCCAAATGAAAGCCCCCAGCCTTGGCTGCAGCCAATGCCCACTGCCTCCGAAGAAGCCTTTAAAAAAAAGACGCTGACATGTAGCAGCAGGGGTAAAAAATTCCCTCCTGGCCCCATGCATCCATCAAGATTGTATGTGTGTTTTGTTACTTCAGTGGAGAGTTTTGGATTTGACTCTGTGGCAGAAATCAGCTTAAGAAATTACAGGTATCAGTATTAAACAAAACAATCAAAAAGTTAAAAAAGGGGAAAAGGATTTTTGTAGGTGCTATCTTTTATTCGACCAATTGTGTCATTAAGATAGGCTTATCAATCAATATTAAATAAAGAGGAGGATTCTTGGTTAATCTGGCTGTCGTTAAAAATGGTCCCTTTTTTTTTTTTTTAAGTAGATGACAAGGATAATACTGGGAGGAAAGAGACCGGTGGGGGGAGGGAAGGGAGCAGAAATTCATCATTATTTTAAAAAGAGTAAGGAAAATAAGTAAAGAAAATGATTTTACCCAAAATCATGGTGTGCCTATCCTGGGTTCTTTGTACCTTAATACATACTTGTATAGAAACTTACCAGCATAGTGGTAATTTGCCAAAGGATGACACTTCATTCTTTCTTGCTTCTTCAAAAGGAGCATCTCTAGAGTAGCCTACATAAGATGAACATGGCAGTCAGAATTAAAATTCCTAATTCATTCCTACATATAACTCTGCTCAGAACAAGCAAAGCAAGCATTCCAGTGTGAGGCACAACACAATATCAGTTGTTTTTCTATTTCTTAATATTGAACATGTCTTTAAATTACAAGTCCCAGTTGGGCTGCATCTGCTGTAAGAATTCAGCCATGCAATCCAATAATGCTGGCAAGAGTGAGGTATTGTTTGGGGATAGAGGATATTATTTGGGAGTGGGGGAATCCCACCAGTCCCCCAAAGCAAAAACATATCCCAAAACACTTTCAAATGGCTTGAAATTATCTGGCTGTGCACACAGATAATAAATTATATTATACTCAGTTTGGAGTGTGACTTTCTCTATTTGTCTGCATCACAGTGGTCACCACAGGGCACTACCACCTCCAAACTGCTGCATTCATTAAGTGCCCTACCTACATGACAACAATGGGCAATAAGTAATACAAAAACCCTCTAAAAGAGCACTAACTTGAAATTTTTATCTATTCGCAAAGAAAGGAAGGGACCATTTCCAGAACATATGGCCCCTATTTATGCTATCACTATCATACAATCAAAAAGCATTTTTACCTATTGCAAAATCTAAATCCATTTGATAGAACTTGATTCCCAAATTATAGAGATTAAAAAGAAAACAAATTTATTTCTTCAGCTTCTTTTCTTACCATAACATCTCCTTTGGCCTCAAAGAGAGAGTGTAAAGCATACTCTGAATTAGTTCCTCCACCAGGTAACACACTTGAACAACACATATTTAAGAGGGTGTCCACTGTCAGAAACAAATAAAAACAATACTGTTAAATAGTGTTACATTACCCTGATAGCCAGAACTGAGGATTTGATGAACCCAGTTCCAAATACAAAATAGAAGGTTCTCATTCCAAATTAAGGCAACTGAAACGCACACTGCACTTTTCTATTTCTCAAATGTATCAATTAAAATGGATCAAATGTTAAAATATTTGTAACCTTTTCAAGTTAAACAATATAATATGCAAATAAAAAAAGTGGCAGATGTCCCCCTTTTCCCCCTCAGAGAGAGTGATCTGAATAAAGATTTCAGTCATCAAAATATAGTACCTTTTTGTTGGAAGCCTTTATTTTCCAGTTCTGGCCATGGCTTCCAAACTAAAGTTGCCTTGTGCATGTCTTTCTCTATTAATGATCCATCTTGTAAATCAGGGATATCAGCCTGGAATCGTGACCCAATATTGATTCGTCTGTAAAAAAAAGATTTAAGAAGCTCTTGGCTACAAAACTGACAAAGAAAACAAGTTATCTTTTCATCGTGCGAAACAAAGTACAAATTGTGTCAGGGCATTTTATACAATCCCATATTAAGTCAATCTGGAACTCTTCATCTTGAGGAAAAGGAGGCTGCGAGGGGACCTGGTAGCAGCTTACTGCTACACTAGGGGAGTACATCAAGGGCTCGGTGAGCAGCTGTTCACCAGGACACCCAAGGGGAAAACCAACAGTAATGGCCACAAACCCCTGGAAGATTGGACAGAGTAGCCTTACTGAAAAGGATGAGAGATAACACATGCAACTGCTGTATATAACTGGCTGGATGCAGGTAGTTATGCCTCCTTATCCTATAGGGGATGATACATTTCCAGAGAGGACAAGAAGAGATAATGCCTGTGCTGTCCCCTGAGCATTCCACCAGACATGGAAGTAGAGTTGAACATCTTTCTAGTGCATGAGGTCTACTACTGAATAAGCATGCTTCCTGACTCTCCTCATCCCAGTTAGCTCCAGCAGCCTGTCAGAGCTTTCCGCACCGTAAGAGCAGTTGTGGCTTTTTATTCTACCACAACTTCATTTCTGAAAGCTTTTCTGCCCTTAGTAACCCCAACCAGTATTTCGAGGACCCTGAGGACATCCAACCCAATATGATCCTCAGGCAGCCAGGCAGTACGAGTATCACCTTCATTGTTTAAAATACAACAGATCATGTTCTCTGAGACAGGGTGAATTGACTGAACAAGAGTGCAAAGTGGCAATATACTGGTAACATTTTTCTTACGGTTCTATGTCAACAGTCTGTTCTCCAGGCCCTGGAGTCACTGGAACATTGTTTCCATCAATACTATCTGAAATAAAAATGGAGGGGTTGATTTTCTACGGTTAGAATATTTCATACACACAAAATCAGTGCTGATATTCTATGGACACCTGCTACATGCCATCCTTCTGCTACTGTTGAACAGAAATCAGTGATATATGTGATGTATCTAGCTGCATGCATGGACCACTTGACCTGAAAGCATCAGCTACCTTACAAACTCAAGTGCATTGCATCTGGGCTTGCATGGCATTTTCAGGAGCAGCTGACAGAGGTAAAAGAATATACTTAAAAATATTTCCTGTAAGTAATGCTTATCCTGCTCTCACTGATCTGAAACAAAGGATCAACAAGACATGCCCCATCAGTCAAACACATTGTATAGCATTTTTATAATGCTTCAAATTCTCTACTATTAAAATATTACTCCTACCTTCCCAGTAATGATTACAATATGGACACTAGTTGCATGCATTTCATCACATTTCCTTCTCAAATCCACTAGGTTTCCTGCTCTAAAACCATTTACCTGGATCCAGTCCAATCCCTTTACCTGGCTCCAGGACAAGCCACATCTTCTGCTGGTAACTACACCTGTTGGTAACTACTGCAGCACAGAATTACCCTTGCTGGCTTCTCTTTCCACCTGCTGACTGTGCTGACTGACCTTGTTTGGTTATACATGTTAGCTTTGGCCTTCCATTCTCATGTGCCAAGCATACCTCCTCCTCCTCCACCTCCTTCCCCCCTCGAAAAAAATTTCTATCAGTCTATCCTGCTTTCTTTTTCTCATCATTAATCTCCACAAACTCCCTTACCTGACCTATTGTCCAGTGACTTACTTAATTTAAATTGCAAGCTCTACGGGTCTAGGAGCATGTATTGTTTAGAACATGTGACTGTTATTAAAGCATTAATAAATCAGTGAAATGAAACAAAAATTACTAAAGATCAAACCAAAGCAAAGCATCACAAATTTATTCTCTGGAGAGGCTTAGGATCAGGTTTTAATGATGTTACAATACTACAAAAAGCTTCAATAGTCCATAGACCACTTTCTACTAGAACAGAGGCAGACGATACCAAGTTTTGATCATCTATCTTATAGAAAGGCAGGAAGAAGGAAAGAGGTATCAGGACTAGACACCAGGACTAGAAGACATAACAAAGGGGCAATCTCATTTATCAATGTTTCTTGCATGAAAAACTTCATGAATAACCCCATGAATAACCCTTGAGCCCCTAACCAGGTCATCTTCCTCCCATCTCAGTGGGCTCCACTCTAGTAACCAACAAGGCATTCCTTTGAATATGGTGTACTACACTTAAATGCATACTACATTAATGCTTCAGGGATGTATTTGGTAGCCGTGCTGGTCTGAGGCAAAAAGAAATGCAACCTCTTAGTTGGTCTAATAAAAGGCATCATCTCTGAACCAAGAGTGCTAGAGTTTTGTATGACTACATTAATGCATACATTTACTTAACTACATAACATAATGCCAGCCTCAATTTGTTGCTTGTATTTTACATCAGAGCCCTTTTACTGGCATGGGCCAGAGTTTGCAATCTAGCCATTGCTGCAGGCTGCAAAATTGCTGCCCCTCCAAATATCCAGCTTCCTGTAAATTGACTTGCTTCAGATTCCCTGCCCCTCTACAGTGAAAATAAGCCCAGGCAGGGTAGTACAGCAGGTTCCACAAAGGGAAGAAGATACGTGGCACAGTGCAGCTTCATGCCAATCTCCAGGGCTGGACTGGACCTCTGCAGGCCAGATCAAATCTCTCTGTGGACCACATACAGCCTTCAGGCCACAGGGTATGGATCCCTGGCTCATGCTGTAACAAACAGTCCAGAGGTCTGTTCTTAAAGTGTACATGTACTCTGACTTTTCTATCTGGCCCTCTCTTTTAGTTACACTACCCTGTCCGTTTTATATCTGAACCACACCCTTATGACCTCTAAGCAAGACGCATAGCTGACTGAAACAGACTTTGCTGAACTGGAAAAATAGCACGTGTGTGCATGCATGTGCATGTAGTAGGTGTGTAAGTGGGTGCACATATGCATACAGGCGTGTACATGATATTTTTCCAGGCTGATTATCCCAAAGGAAAAACCACACATAGGGCACATTGTAATAGCATTTTATACAGTCTGCAAGTTTGGGTTCAGAAAAAATGATACAGTAGATAAAAATACTTACTAGATCGACACAGGAAGACCCGCGGAGTGGGTGTCAGAGGCGTGAGTGGCAATTGGGGATGAGATGCACCATGAGACGAGGTGATAACACTGCTGAAGAGACCGGATCCTTGCCGTACTGGGCTAAGCATAGGAGGTGGAGTGTAAGGAGGAAGCTCATGTGTCCTGTCTAGCAGATGGTCTCCTAGGATGCGGGGAGAGCGTAGTTGACTTTGATAGAGTGTAGCACCCGAGTAGGATGCAGGGAAGTTGAAGGAAGGAGGAGGTATGAAGAGCGGTTCAGGCCTATGTCGATATTTTTTCTTGTCCTGCAGGGGTTTGAAGTTTTCTTCCAATTTTGAAGCACTTGGAGGAGGCTTTTTGTCGACTTCCTAAATGAAAACATATACCATTCCAATATTTAGTGACTACGTATCTGGATTACATTATATACAACCCCTGAGCTGCAAGGCAGTAGTAACAGAAAAATATGCCCTCAGATGGTTGCCGAGGTGATGAAAAAACACCATCAAACTGGTAATAGGTGGCAGTCTTACTGGTCCTCATAGCAAGGAGATCAGGAATGGAAAGATAGAGAGACTGAATTATGCTTTGACCTTCAGAAGTGATGTTTCCTGGTCAAGGCAGGACTGTGAAATAACTGGCTTGATCTTGAAAACAGGTGTGCATTTGTCATTGCCAATTGTTGGTGGCTAAGGAGACGTCTTGATTCTCCAAGGCTGTCAATGTGGAAATTTTCACCAGCCCTACCTTTGCATGTGCTGGTAATGTTCAGTTACACTGAATTATATTACCCCATCCTCCCACCACAGTCTATAGCAATTAGAAAATGTATAGAAAATGTTTCCCAGTACACTTATGTGACTTTTGTAAGGGGGGAGTGTGGTGCACATTAAAGCTCAGTGAAATAACTGCACCAGTTTCAGGAGCAAGAGAGAAAGAAAAATGTAATAAATTAAAATTCTTTCCCTCTTATCACCACATTCCCATCTGCTGGGTGTAATCCAGCTGCAAGGAATCTTGTGCTTAATTCTTTCCTCCTTTCTTGGCAAGAAAAATGGTAGCAAATGACAATGGGGGAAATACAAGCACTGTGTATTGCAATTACAGTATTTGGAGATTAAAATCATTTAACGTTATGCCACCAGAATCTGAGAAAAGTGACAACTGGAGTTTTGAAAGGGAGGAACCCAGATTTCTGTGCCAATGGTTAAATAGTTCTATAAGAACATAAGACAGTGGATATGCTTATTTTAAATACATTGCTTGCAAGAGCTTAGGTTCTAAATTTCATTTATTACAACTTGGAGGGGAAGAAAAATTTTTAAATTGAGAAGCCTATCCCAGAATTTCTGTATCATCTGGTTAACATTACAGCATTATATAAAAGTAAATTATTACTTCGCATGTTTAGACAATATATCTTAACACCCTGGGTGGTTCTTGAGAATCATATTCGCCCAATAAAAGCTATGTTAAAAGAACATTAACACTGTCACCCTTTTCCCCTTATGTTAATGCATTCCAGCTTGTGGAAATGCTTTCTATTACAGAGGTCCTGTTCCCTCCATTGGATCATGTCTATATTCTCTTGTTGTTTGTTTTATTTTGTGGGAAAAAAAAAGACATTTTTGTAGAGGATTATGTGAAAACATTAAAAACAATGAATATCACAAGTGACAGAATCTGTCATGACTGTGAACATTTAATATTCAAAGAGGACAAAAAGAAGGGGAAGTGGAAAACACTGCAGGAGTCAGAATAAGAATGTTAAATTAACTATTTCTTCCTTTTTATTTTTCAAAAAGGAGACAGTATCAGCCAGCAGCCAATGGTCTTCTCATCCTATGGAAGTTTTTGAAAAGGTTTAAAAATTTTTTTCTAATTCCGAAGTGGACAAAACCAAGATCTTTTGAAGCTCTTTTGTGAAAAAGCTATGAAGTGAGCTCTACCCCAGAACATTTTAATGGTCTTTATCTGAAATATGGGAAACTTGGGTTCAAATACCTGTTCTGGTGGTTTAGATCAACACATGTTGGTTATTCTGGAGAGAACCTCTCTCGCTCTGTCCTGTTGAGGCTGTTCCACTCAGTGGTATTTTGGTCTCGCATATCCCAGCTAAGCAGTATTATGCAAAGTCTACAGAGCCAGTTTCTCTGGCACAATGAATACTGTATTTACTTGCATACAACACAATCCCAAATATAATACACACCTTGTTTTCGAAAGGCAGAATGAAAAAAAGCAGGGACAGAGTCTAATTTTCAGTTAACTCTCTTTCTTGCTTAACTAAAGGTGACATAACTAGCTGCTCCTGAAGACTGGTCTTTGCGAGTGGATCTATGGTTTTGAAGGCAGCGAGAGTCTCCAAAGCTGTGAAACAGGAGGCAGAGACTGGGAGCAACTAGCAGACTGTAAAATTGTCCTAAGACAGTTTAGCTTGATTAGTGGAAAAAGAGATGATTATTAACACCTGTGGAGTAAACAATGAGCCATTAAGGCAACTAACTCTTTCAGCTACTTGAATAGTAATGTTACAGCTACTGCACAGTAGATCAGGAATCAAAGCAGGGTGCTTCAATCCTGGTCAGAAAAGCAGCTTCCCCTCTTAATACACATACCCTTAATACAGTGGGGGTGGTGAATATGAAAGTAGTATTTCATTTTCTACATTAATTAGGATAGCTACAACAGAAGAAAATGGAGAGAGGCGCTGCTAGAACAGTTAGGAGGCTGATGGGTAGGACATTCACCCAGCCCTTGAAATTTAGGTTCAAAGGTGCTATTCCGAATAGGGCAGAGAAGGGACTTGAACCTTATTCAGTACAACTTTTGGGCATGGGACAGGGAGTCTCTTGAATACATGCATTGGAAGTGCAAGCCAAAAAAACAAGTAAAGAGCAAGTAAACTGTTGCCTGTCTACCCCTCATTGGTCTCCACCTGAGAGGTGCCCCTCTCCCCTGATTTGCTGCACGCTGCACAAAGTCTGCATGTGCCACTGGTGGCATACCTGCCTCAGGTTGGCCACTCCTGAGCTATACCATATGGCACTTATGAAATATTAAATATGTCCCTGATGTTCAGGGCCCCAGAGCTCAGAAATGGCTCTCTAGTTCCCTGAAGCACTTGAGTCCAATTCACAGGTGCACAATGGGTGTGTTCTCACGTATCCCAAAAAAACACCACATGTCTAATTGCTGGGACACAAGTGAATGAAATAATGGGCATCCCTCCAACCATGCCTTGCTGTTGTGGGCTCTTTAGTTTCATTTGGTATTTATATATATTTTTTAATGAATTCTATAAATCCTGGTCTTGCAAACCACAAGAGACATGATTAAAGCAAATCAGCTACTGTTCTTTAAAATTAACAAAAATCTGTTTATGCAATCACTTACTGGGACAATTTCCTTCCCAGAGCATTGGACAACCACTCCCTAGCACTTGGATATGCTCCCACTACTGTTGCTTGTAGAATCACCTGGGGTGCTGGTATAAATTCTGTGCGCCCAACTATACATGCATAATTTGCTTGTGCAAGAGACAGGACCATACGCATATACTGGCTGACTGAATCTACCACTGGCCAGTTAGATGTCTAAATGATCTTTCTTAGAACCGGATTCTATTCCAACTTCTGTCCTCAAAGATGCCCAATTAAAATACTTACCAGAATCCAAGACAACTTCAAATATAAAACAGCCCCCTAATAATTAGATTTTATACATGAAAAATCTCAACAAATTGTAATTTTCCATGTATAGGATCTCATTATTGGAGTCGCCTTAATTGCCTTCATTTCATACCCTCCACCATTGCAGGGGGAAAAGCAATGGCAGAAGAACAAGTGACAGGGAAAGCAGCAGCAAGGGGACAGGGCAGAGTACCCCTAGCCCCTGCCCCTCCTGCCCCCTGCATTGCTTGCTCCCACAGTACTTACATCCCCCTCCACCACCTGCCTCCTCTGCTGCTTGTTCCTTCCTCCCAGTTACTTGCAGCAGCTCTGCTTTCAGTTCTGGCCCATGGGACCATGCACACAGCGGCTCCAGCCCCAGCCTGGTAGCCGCCAACACTAGCCCCTGGCCCAAGTTGGGATCAGACACAGAGCAGCTCCCC